TGCAAGGCAGCGCTAGCAAACCCGCTAGGTTTGCGTTATTTTTCCACATCCATGTTCAAGGTTAATTGCTTGTTATTCAACATGAGGAAAAGTTTAGATGTAACACTTAGCGCCTTAAATCTATAAGGATGTCTTAGTGAATTTCTGTTCTACTCGATTTGTTCCTATATTTTTAAGGTTGTCCTTCAATTTTGCGAATTTGTACGTAATTTTACCTGCTAGATCCCCGCTAGCAATGCGCTGGCAAAAGTTGCAACAAGTGGCTTTGGCTGACCCGTGACCCAGTCCCCGCCAGAGAATAGTGTATCCTTTCTGTTTGACAAGGGCAACAGTGACAGCAAAGGCAACGACGAGCCCTGCAGCAGATGAAACATTCTTCCAGTTCCACGGCTATCCACGACTAATAACGAGCAGTGGCACCCACTCCATTTTGACGTGTGTTAGCATTTCTTTCAGGTTTTTGCTATGGTTTCAAACTTGAAAGATAAAATGCAGGGTTTCAGACTATTTAGATAAGTCATAGTTTTAAAGACAACGATTTATCAACTTATCAACCAAACCAAAAGAATACATTTTGACAAACCGTAATCATGTTAAATATTTCCTCAGCTTTTCCTCCACTTAAGCTGAAACTCCCCAAGGGGGTTGCGACTTGTGCCTAGTAAAATCCCGATTCCAATGGAAGGTGCTGGAGTCCATGAAGCAAATCTTTGAAGATGCCGACACCGACAAATCGGGGCGACTGGACCAGGACCAAGGGTGGACGCATGCGGACGCCCCGCACCTCATGGGGGTTGGTGGTATGAACCGACCTGGGTGAATGGTAGTTTTATGTTGTTGTTTTTTTTTTTGTGGGGGGGTGGTTATAAGTCATATTATCATATAAGATCATATAAGATCAAATAGGTCATATAAGATCATATATAAGTCTAGTAGAGGCGGTTAGACAGGAGCTTAAGGATCCCCATGCTGGCCTTGACCGCGAAGTTCATTCATGATGTTTTCCCTTGGGTGACTTTGTGGCCACCTTGGATTAATCACCCCCAAGGGACAATCATCCGATCCACAGGAGGAGTTGAAGGCGTCCTTCTGCTACTTGGCTTGGAACTCTTCATCCCATGGATTCCCATGGCTCGTAACTTCATAGATCTTCATGGTCTCAGAATGTCCCAGATACCCATGGGGTACCCCTCCAACTGACATACCCGCGGGACCGCGGGATGCGGCGATTTTCAGGGTCCAGTTGATAGGTATGGTCTATGGGATGATCAAAAACATTGCTGCTCACTCAATCCTGAGTTTTTCTTAGCTGATTTTTGTTGAGGGCAAAATGTCTGGGGAAATTCGCCGAAACTTTAGGGCCAGGATGGGCCAGGTCTGTTGATCTTTTTTGGGGGCGGGGACTCCGCTTACGCCAAATCCGCGCCAAGATCTATGATCCGCTTGAACCCCTTAACTGGATCCATTATATAATCATCCTAATCACCCCTAATATCAAACACCCCCCATGGCATGACCCCAAATAAGTGTAGATCCCCTACTAAACCATGGTTTAAGATTAGGGGGAAGGGATTGGTAAAGACTTAAACGAAGAATTAGACTTAAATCCTATAAGATTGGGGTCGACATGGACCAAGTTCATCGATAGGCCAGCTGTTTGATATTTGATTTCGGTGAGAACCGTCTTTAACGAAACAAAGATCCAAGCAGACCATGCGGATATGATGGTGCGAAGCTGAACTGAACATGTGATATTGATTTCATGTTTCATCACGTACTTTTCCAGAGCTATGTCGCAAGCAACCCCGTCTATCGATGCTAAGAGGGCTCAGAACCAATGGAATGTTTTTTTTTTCCGGAGGGATTTCAGGTGCTGCAAGTTTTTTTTCTCAAGTGTCGATTTGTGGACATACTTTTGCGGAGTATACGCCACAAAAAGCCAGTTGCAGGATCTTGGCAGTTCAGTATTTCCGTCCGGATAGAAGTGGGCAGTTTCTCAGGGCTCAGTGGGGCATCACAAGGACCCCCAATGATAGCTTCCCTTGTAAACGTGGTTGATGGATGTTGTTGGTGATTCAGATTCGCCCTTAATTCACGATTATTATATATTGGGGGGTCAGCTGGCTGGGCGGGGGTCCCAGATTTGTTTTCTTGCAATGCAAATTTGGTAAAGTGATTCCAAATGATCCTAAATCTACAATACCCCTGAACAAACCTGTGGTTGTTAACCAGGAAGAATAAGGAATCCGTGGTTTCCTGGATTTTCCTAGCAGCTGGCTGGGGTCACGGTCTCCCCGACCAATATGCAGGTTCAGCATGCAAGTCAGACATTGCGGTCTTACGCATGCAACACGAAGCCTCAGCACGTGTTCGCAGCAGTCTGTCAGAAGTGATGGCTGACGCCTGGAAATCAAATAGTTGCCGGGCGGCGCAGCGCGGCGCAGTGGAGCGGTAACACCCAGGGCAGATTTCGGCGAAGATAGATGGCGCTAGATGCGCGCATGACCACAGCTGAAACTTTGCTTGCCTTCGGGGACGGTGGTTGGGGGAGCTCGGCTCGAGATGGAGAAAAGTGACAAAAGTTGCCACCATGGGCACCTTCCAGTGATTTCCAGTGATTTCACGATTCCCAGCAAAACTAGCCAACACTTTATTATTTATAGGGGGCTTCGCAGCTTTCCTGAAACGGTTGATTGGGGGTAGTAGTGGCAGTGGTGGCTCTTGCAATTCGAATATATTTGATCGAGGGCCGTCTGACACCAGGGATCATCATGTAGGTGCAAACACTTGAGGTGACGGGCGGGTCCGAGACCGACTTCGTTTGCTGCGGATCCCCTTCAAGGACCGGAAAACCAATTTTTTTGGTGCCCACTGTTTCAAGCAAGGTGCGTGCACGCCATTGCTTCCAAAGGGGTCTTGGCACGTTTTGGGCCCCAGATTTTGCTTGTCAGCGACTTGTCTCTGGAGGATTTGGAAATGCTTTTCGGGATTTTGGATGACGAACAGGCAGGGCAAGTCAACACCAACAAGTTTCTTGGAAGATTTTGCAGCAAACCTGGGGGCAATGATTTGCGTAGATGCCGCCAACATCCGCCAACTGTAGGTGCGAATGTGTTTGCTGCGGACACATGGCCACAAGGCCTGAACACAGAAAATAAAAAATCAAAACACGAAAAATGTAAGTGTTCAACCTAGGCGTGGTTTGCATGTCTTGTTGAGACCACCGCCCCCGCAAAAACGAAGCATGAACTATGAACATGTGAACTCAGTTCAACCAAAACGAAGTACGTAAGGGGTGTTGCCTTTTCTTTCGTGGGATGCATCAGTGTTGCTCGTGTTTGTTGATCAAATGCGCGCCGCCTGTTCCAAACTGGAATGTTACGTGTAATAATTGAACATCAGATGCTGGTTGGCCTTGGTTTCTGTGAATTTCCTCAAACCAAGGTTTTTCCGCGGAGTTCAGCGTCTCAGGGGTCAAGCTGCCGCGTGCCACCTTCAGCAAATGCCCCGATCTCAGAAATGTTCAGGTTGGCATAAGGTTGACGGGGTCATGGAAGATCGAGTCAGTGCATCAAGGGTGAGTCTTTAAAAATCCAACAATCTGCCTTTGCAAAGTACTACATGTGCCGCAGAGATTCACATTTGGCCAACCGAAATAAGTAGACCATTGGTGACCCGCATACTTGGAGAGTCTGAAGCCAGGATGTCGTGACTTTGGAGGTTGTGTGCTCATGCGTTCTCTGTCTTAATGGTCAATACATACATACACAATACCAAAAAATATAAAACTATATAAAAATAATATAAACTAATGCATTACTTGGGGGATAGACTCGGATGAACATCCATGAATCCCAATTATTTTGATGTTCGCCAAAGGTATGGGGCTTCGATCCCTGGCCACATCAACACCTTATGTGTCAAACACGTGGTTACTTGACCATGTCCTGCGTTGATTGTTGGTACAATGATCGGTGATTGCACCTGCTATTCATGCATGACTGCCGACAGCCATGTCCCCCATGGGTTGTTGTTGCAAACACGGCAGCAGAGTGACGCGCATAGATAGGCAGATCGGCAGATTAGACAAAAACAATCCCACCCCCCAATGTAACAAAAAACAGATGACCCCGTGGTTTAGTCTTGGATCAGCGCATCTATATATTCATTTTTTTTGGGATCCAATATGGGGTGTAAGTATTCAATACTAAGGGGAAGGGATTACATGGAAAGTTTCTGATAGCAATGGTCCGGCAAATGTCGTTTCGTTAATCCGTAACGCATCCCCAGGAACGTGGATTTGGGACGGCGGCTCGTGTGGTGCGATCAACATCAACAGGAGGCACTGGTGCTTCCATGGGTTTCCTGCATTCCCCCCTTACCAGATACACATGGATGATCATGAAGGTATGAAGTGACGCACATACGGGGGTCTTGGAAGAAAATCAATGTCCCTGGCAAGGTCTCGCGAATCCCATCAGATTGATCTGACACATAAATAAATAAATAAATATATATATACAATGTGTGTGATCATATTTCTTCAAGTATATATATATATAATTTATAATCTGTGTGTGTGCGCATTGGTTAATGGATTGTGTATTGCGGTTACCAAACGCTGTAAATGCCAGGGTGGTGATCTCTTCAAGAAACCATCAGGCTTGTGATATTTTAGGGCGTTATATTTTGATATATATGTTGATCTATGCTTTGTTGGTAACGGCTTGAAACCCTACCAGCCCTAGAAGTGGGCGTTGATCCGGGCTCCGCCCCCAGTACTTGGAACTGATTGGCGTCAAAAACTGTTGTTTTGCCACAGTTGCGTATAAACACGGTATATATATATATATATATACACTATATAAATATATACTATATATATATAATATATATATATTGGCTGCTTGATTTTGCAAAAGAACAACCTTGGCATTTGCTTTCAGTAATGCACCAGGACGAGACGAAAGTGTAACTTTCAACCGCAGCCGAAGCTCGAAATCCCCTCGACGCTTCCAACGTTTCTATCCATGTCGATGTCCATGTGGCGGCTCTTCGCCATCCTACCGCTGGTCGCCTGGGCCGACCAGTCGTGTTCCGAAAGTTCCTCGGAGGAACTCCGCGAAGACACGCAGTTCTTACAGCGATCTCTGCAGTTGCAGCAGGTGCCATGGGGCCATGTGAAAGTCTTGGTTCCTGAGAAAGGGGAGGGGTGTTTTTGTTTGGGATTTACATTGTTTTTACCACATGATTTGGGTGAAGTTATATACATTTTACACTACCTAGTTACTGGTAAAAGACAAACTATTCAACCTCCAGAGACTAGGCTTCCACACTGCTGAGATTGGTCCAATATGTGTTGATCGGCCACCAGCAACCTCCATAGTATGGCATTATTAGATCAAATCTAATTATTTAAATCTATTTCAACAGGGATCTTATTAAGCACAATTTATCTCCGAAAACATCTGTTGTTTCGGGCTTCACCACATCATGGTTATGCTCACCTGTCCAGCTTGGATACTTCGGCTTGGTGGAGTCCAGACAGACTTCCTCACCAACACGTCCTTCTCGAAGGTTCCCGAAAAAATGAGATTATGATACTCCTTTAAGATTTATATGAATTTATATGTAATTATAGATTTGTAATTAATTATGCATCATCAATATTATAAGGGGTTGGAAAAAATCGATCAACATCTATCTTTCATAGATCTTCTTGGCCTTTATTCATATCCATTGTCCCATTAAGGGGGCACAGTCGGAGCTGCAGGAGACCAACATCGCCACAGATGCCTTGGCGCGCGCCAAGGGCACGGCGACGGTCTCGAAGACCAAACGGGAAGGAGCCGCAGCCGGGGATCCTTGGGACCTGGTGGACCTGGTGGACCTGGTCACCGGATGTCACCGGGCGAAGATTTGAATGATGGATTTGACATAACTAAGTCCAGTCAAATGATTTTTTGGATGCCAAAACATTTGACATATGCCAAAAGAATGCAGATGGGAAGTTCTTGTGCATTCTTTCTTCGGATGGTATCCTGGAAGGGTTCCTGCTGCGACTCGCGCTGACGGTTGGCAAGTTTTTCAAGAAACTTTGAGACCAGCAACAAGACACTATTTTTGCAAACAACCAATTTCTGATAATTTATGCGAGTTTATGAACTTCAAGGTTCACGGCCATACAATTCACCAAGGTTTCTCGACGAGGTTTCTCAAAGTCCGTTGTTCATTTTCAGGCTTTCAGGATCTGGCCATGTGGTGATGCCTGTGGAACCTGGTAGAAATTGATCAACCACATGGGTTGGTTGATTTTTCACCAATGACTCGGAGGGAGCTAAGCAACTAGGATTATTCACACATATTAAATAGGGACCCAGGGAGTTACAAATAGAGTTTCCCAACCATTCCAACCATCTCCATCATACTTTTGAATTTCAGCTGTTTCGGTCACCACACGACTTGCCACATCTCCAAGATTCCCCTGCGATCGTTGTCCAGGAGAAGTCCAGACTTATTTTTACTACGTGAATTTCCATGGAGTTGATCCCATCTTGGTGCCTCGGCTCGCCCCAGGGGTCGCCCAAGGGAGATATGGATCAACTGTGGCTGTGGGAATGTTTTCTGTTTAGCGAAGTTAGACTCATGTTTTTAATCCCTACCCCCTATTAATAAACGGGCCCCCCCCCCCCCCCCCCCCCC